ATTGTATATTACGTTGTCTAAAAAGTAAATATATAGCAAGTACGCGAGATAAAGAACTAAAGTGTCCTTATTTTAATTATTTTAATTTTATTATTTAATTTTTTATTATTATTGCATATATTATTATTTATACTGTAATCTATTTTATTTCTGCAAAAAAAAAAAAAAGATGAAAGAAACAAAATATTGTGTACTTGACATTTTGCTCGCTCAGTATTTTCTGCACGCTGACGTCGCTGACATTCGATGCATTTATCTTCGTCACATTGCGCTCAAGAAACAATATTTATCGAGTCGCGAGATAAAGAACCGCAGTTCGCGTATGGCGGACTGCAATAATAAACTATCGTGCCAATGTAACGCTTAACGTATCGAGTATTCGACGAAATGATAATATTCGGGTCGTTCAACCGCTTTCATACTTTGAGAGAAGAGAGGGAGTTTATGAAGCTACGTAAAAATAAATCACCACGCGATATTTATATCGAAACCGTGATGTTTCAATTACATAGTTACAACGCTAAAAGGAGGCAAAATAAATACGAATTTATGATGTTATTTTCGAAAGCATTAGTTATCAAAATATACGCCGCATTGTTAGTTACATTATATTTAGAGTTACTATTCAGATTAAAGTTACGAATTATTAATTATTATCAATATTTAATTACATATTATATATTTTATGATATCGGTAGCTTTAATATAATTTTATAATTAGTGAGAACTCTAAATATAATGTAACTAATAATGTGGTGGCGCTATTAATTTATAAATGTTCGTCGCTTTTATTCCGAGAGAAGATAGATAAAACCCAACGTGACGAGACGATATGTGTAAAACGAATGCAAGCCACTCCTAGTTTCAGTGTCTATATAAGCCACGCGTGTCGAGTTACTGTTACTGCATCGCGACACGCCACTTTCCCATTTTCCCATTGCTCCTCCTGTCCGATTTATCGTCGGACGCAACCAGCGAGGTCGTTGACATGCAATTCACGATAGTTTGTCAAGATTTTAAGCTTCAAAAAATTACTTTACATATTTCCGTAATCGAACTCTTTACAAATATTATTACTGCGAAATGCGCGGACTAAAGCAGAAGAATAAAAATCGCGAAAAGGATTCGAGATGACGTTGAATCGGTTTTTCAGAGTGTCCACAGCAGACTCAATGAAAAAAATTCCCAGATTTTTTCAGATTTTCCAAGACCAGAAATTAATTTTTTTCCCTGACTTTTTATAGTATTATTTTTTCCAGATATATAATTTGCATATATCTATATATGATAAATCAATTAAATGTTCATGTCCTTAAGATATTTTGGTCAACAATGAAAAGGTTTGGAAGTTAAAACAAGAATTTAAATCAATTATGTACAATCTGCATTATGTACGATAATCGAAACAAATATGTCACAAAAACTAATTACATAATCACCTTTTTTATTTACAAATCAAATTTTTTAGCTTTATCTCTATTGAACACATTGAAATAAAATAACACGACAATAATTATATAAATTAATAAACACGCTGTAGATGAATCAATTTTTAACAACACAAAATTAACGTGCTGGGAGTCAAGGAAATTTATATTTATTTAATAAAAAATTTCAAATTATTGAGACAAATGTAGAATCATGTGAAAAACTCCAGATAAATAGTAAAATTTCCTCACTTTTTCCCTGACAATTCCAGATTTATAAAATTCCCTGACAATGCCCAGTTTTCCAGATTTTCCTAGACCGCTAGACACCCTGCATGCAATTCGCGATAGCTCGTCAAGAATTCAAGCTTAAAAAAACTTATTTTATATATTTCTGTAATCGAACTCTCTAAATATTATTACCGCGAAATGCGCGGACTGAAGCAGAAGAATAAAAATCGCGAAAAGGATTCGAGATGACGATGGGTCGGTTTTTCCCTCGCCTCGATAGCGACGGAGGGTCTTAACGGAGGAGTTATCGCCATGACTTCCAATTCAGGGCGACAATCCTCCCGGTCTTAAGTGACTCCGGGGATTGCTCGGCGGTAGTGCACATCGGTATTCAACGCGCAAAAGGCAAACCTTGCATTTTGCAATTCGCATCGCGCAACGCAGAAAAGGGATAATCCACCCTCGATACGAGAGAGGGTTACACAGAGGAAGAGAACGGAACACGATTGCTACGCGGGAACGCGGTTGCCATGGGAGGATTTCGCTGCTGGGTGTGTTTCGAGGGTTTTCAACGGAGGGTTTATGACGAGATGCCCCGGTTCCCTCCACAAATCCCACTCCCCTTTTTCCCGTCCTTCTCCACGAAACCATCTCTGCTACTGCACGACGCAATGCGTGCACACACACACGTTGATCGCGCACACACGCGCGCGCGCGCACACACGAGATCGATCTCCCTCGAGTTACCTAACGGCTCTCGTTAGGTTTAGTTAGGCCGGCGAGGCCGAGAACCGGTATTATTGAAAAACTGGAATCAGCAGCGTAGCTGCGGCCGGTTCGTCGACAGAACGCAGGCGCTCGAGAACGGTTACGGAAAGTCTTATTGCGCAATACTCGTCGACGAAAGAATGCAAAACCGCGAGAAAAGGATATATACGCACCCTCTCTGCGTTTTATTTTTCTAATGTCACGACATGAAATGCGAATGTATCGGAAAAATGTTCGACCGGTCGCTAATTTATTGCGCGAGATATTTCGATATATTATTGATGATGGCGAAGTATTAAATATCGTAAACGATTTTTAATGATAACGGGGCTCGTTCGTATATTTAGGCAGATTTTTCGCAAGCAGTGCCACGTGTTAATGATGCCGAGGCAGTTCTCGCTGCGAGCTATAAACGTCGTAATAAAGCGCGTAGTCGAAAAAAAATAATCCAGGAAAGGGTGTACACACACACGTGCTTTCTAATAAAATTACCAGGATAGATTTTATGAAGGCGTCGCAACGCGCGTGAAGTCGCGGGAAAAATGATGGCTCTTATTTCCGCCATATGTCGATAATAATAGCAACGACAACAAATAATAGCGTAACAGACATAGCGATGTCGGGTTTTTTGAGTTGTAGCGCATGCAGTAAAAAATGCATCGCTCCCAAGTTTCGACAGCGCTAATTAATCGCGTCGTTAACTTCGTATTAACTTTGACAATTGCTCGTCTGCAGGTCCTAACAAAAATACAGCTCGGCTGATTCTATCGAGACAAGTTGGAACCCCGTGCGAGAGAGAGAGAGTATGTACCCTAATTCAGAGGGTAACAGCAGCCAGCTGGCTGCTGTATACTAGTCATCCTTTCTTTCTCTGTTCTCGCAAACAAGCGCCGAAATGGCAGGCAATTTGAAGGTCGAGGTCGGATCGTAGGTCAAAGTTTGTTAAGTATTACGGAACGGGAGTTGGGGCGTGCATCACTTATATAGATCCCCTTTCTGCCACAAGAAAGCTACCTCGTTTCTGTATACGATAGATGCAAGATAAACGCAGCATATTTTATATGCGCGAACATTAAAAGCTCGGCCATTCATCGCATCAACGAATCATAATTTCAAAATGTAGCATGTATTGATATTATCTTTCATATAATTCATCCACCATGTAATTTTCTATGCGAGGTCAGAATGCATTTACATAATTTATTAACCTCGTTAATAATGCATGTTTTATAGAAGTTTCGCTTACACCTGCATTTGCAATATTTTGTCATAATTTGACAGGCATTTTCATTAAATAAATTTAGATATAAATATTTATATTCTTTATTGGTATTATATACATATATCATGACATGCAATTTTATAGATTTATTAATAAAATGAATTGACATTTAGATTATTTTACATTACGTTGCCTGTGTATTTCACGATTTTTCAATTCTACTATCCTGCAATATAAAAAGACGACTAAAGTGTCCATTAAGTAATCCCCGATTAAGGATATTCTCTGTCTCTTAAAGCGCTATTTGCGATAATAAGTCAATTAATCGGTCAGTTAATAGGTATATAAGTCAATTTAATACAAAGTTAACCGACATCAGTGCAAGCAAACTTTGCACTGCGCGAGTTGCACAAGTCGAGGGAAAAGTCGTAGGCGAATAAAATCATTCTTTAATAGCGACGCACGTAAACGTACGCGCGTATATATGCGTGCGTGTGTGCGCAAAGAGAAACACATGCATGCTACTCGGTTTCTACTCGAGTATTGATTTCCCCACGTGTATTTAGGGTAGGACGACAGTGTTACAGGACGAGATGCGAAAGGATTCGCCGGGGGCGTAGCTTATGCCTGATTTACGCATGTGGAAAGGACGCGGTCTCTCGGCCGAGATTAATTTAACGAGCTACGACGCGATTAAAGCTGGTCACCAATATCAGCTTAATCCTCCATCTATCAAACCATTTTTTGTACCTTTCGTACATATGGAAATTCGCGTTTAATTAAATATGCCGAGTTATTACGAACAATAAACTTTTTTTTTATCAAATGTATAAAATTCTGGGTATAATAGAGAAAATATTAGGAATAAATATTAGATATTAAGAATAGAAATTATTTTAAAAATGATAAAATCGAAAGACTGATATATATATACAAATTCGGGTATAAAGGGCTTTTACAAGGGCTCTTATTCAAAATTCGTTATACTCAAATTTGTATTTGTATATAAGTGTCCTTTCAATTTTATTATTTTCAAAAGAACATATTCCTATTCTTAATATTTAGATAATATTAATTCCTGATTTTTTTCTCTATTGCGCTCTGGACCAAAGATCACAAAATAATTTATTTCATAATTAAAAGAGATATTTTTTTATTTTCAAAAATACTTCTTTTCGAATGTACTTAGTATTTTGTTTTGCTTGCTGCTCTGCGCGATATATCATTGTAATCGCCAACGATTCATTTAACGTCAGTCCATTTCGTTAACAAAACAATGTATCGTAAATTCACACATCTCGTAAGCGAAACTTCCGTTATGTCAAAAAGTAGAGAGGTAATTAATTACTCACCTTGATGTGATAGGAGTTGAGTTTGGTACGGGGCAGACTGTTGAAAGCGCTGAAGTCTAGACGACGGGAGAAGATGCCATTGGCGCCGCAGCTTTGTCTGCAAGCAACAAAACAACAAAATTGTTTAAACGATATTAAAAAGACATAAAGACGAAAGATAAAAACGCAATTATACATTACGTGTGCATCATATTTCTATTTTTGCAAAGCGCACGTTCTATTTTCGAAAATCAACACTTGTCATGTTGAATATTCACATGAACATTGATATCGAACGACATTATGGGTTATTAAGTAAGATCGTAAACGAACTCTTTAAAGGGCTTCCAACAAAAAAGTTGATGTTCCAGTGAATTTTTCGCAATTCATATTAACTTTCGGACCCTCGGCCTCTCGCTTGATAACTTTCTCCCCTAAAGATGCCAGTATATGACCCCTTGTTATACGAGGCAGGCTTCCTTTATGCATGTACGACGACGAAAACAAAATATCTCTAATTGTAAGCATGAATTATTCGCACATACATGTGTTTTTCATTCAAGTTTATTATTAATCGTCATAAGAAAAAAACGGAGAATAAAGTTTCCAAGTAGAAAAACTCTACTCGATAAAAACGTATTATAGATCGATTACATAACATATGTATATAAGATTTATTAAAAATAAAATATTGATTGATTTCAAAGAATCCAAGAACTTTCAATTCCTTTTGCTAGAATTATTTTCAGATAAATAAAAAAAGATATATTTTTGCAATAAAATCAAAATTAATTCAAGCGTGAGATAAATCTTATCCATTTATGATCTTTCTTGTGTTTAAATTTGCATTTACATTGTATGTAGTTACAAAAATAACAATCAATGTTTCTTATTACAGATTTCGTAACAGTTCATAGATTAACGCTCAACAGTACAGAAATAAATCAATAATTATTTATAGTTGTGTATTTCTGATGTGCTGTCACAAATAAACACCGATTTGTTTTTAGTTGCGCAACGCTCGACGTAACGCGAGTCAACGACGTTTTTGCCTCGATGAGATGTAGAAGAGATTCCCGCTATAGGCCACGGCAAATTAAAACGATAAAATAGAACGACAACAGGCGCCAGCGAGGTGGCTCCAGGATACCCAGCGCGGAACGGGAATTACAACAATGACGACCATAATAGTCGGTTCTCGAGCTGTGCAACATAGTTGCGTCACCAGGAAGACGAGCGGACAGGCGAGCGATAGGAGTCAACATAGTAGCGAAGCCCAGGGTGGGGAGACCACGACCTTGGCCTCCACTCTAGCGAGACCGTCCCTCTATCGCTGCTTGTATTGGTTATGTTTGGCAATGTCAGTCCAGGGTCACAAAAATATTGCGCACTGTCGAAGGCAGCCGATCGTTTTTCGCGGAGAAAACATTCGCTTGCATTATACAATGTACTATTTATTGGATTTCCAGGCCTGCTATTGGAGAGAATTGCATTTTGCAACCTTGATGCATTCTTTTTTTTTTTTTTTTTTTTTCTCAACGAAATTTTATAAGTACTTTTGCAAAAATAAATTGCTGTAATTCAGATCTGATATCGCAGTTTTTAATGTCGACAACTATTACTCTTCTGAATTTAAGCTATTCCTTTTTATCAAGAGGCGTAATTGTGACCAAAAGTATCTTAATTAATAAGATAGCACAAAATGTGAATGTCTCTATATACAAAAGTATGCATATTAAAAGTTAAAACTGATTTAATTAAATTTATTTAGATTAATAAATAAAATAATTAATATAATTTAAATATTGAATTAAATTACCAATTATACTTAATAAAAATATTCTTAGAAGCTGATAAAGTCCAAGTCAATTTAAAAATTCCATGTTACAATAAGATAAAGTTTATTTTCAGTTTCGTCGTTATGTAATGTTATCGGCGCCAGATATTATAATTTTCTTAACCGTCATAACAAAGCGCATTAATTTTAACAGTCTATTATAATGTATCAGCACATGTGTGATAAGTATATGAAATATAATAATAACCCGCACCTTCTCTAAGAATATTCCTTTCTGAATATTCCTTTCCGCATTTTTTTTATCACATCAAGCTCAATATTTTCTACAGTGCGCATCGTGATGGAATTTAAGCTCTTCATTAGATCCAATGATAGAATTTACATTGGTTGGCTGTGTGTATTAGATTAACGTCGATGACTAACGATGAAAAACACGTTATGTAACATGTTGTTACGAAAACCTGGTTGCGACAGAGACGTGTAGTGGTAACATCGCACGCACACGCACGCACGCACATATGTACGAAACGTTCACACGAAGTAAATAGCGTTGTTTACTTCGTATTACTGCGATTAGTCAACAATGTAGACAAGAGCCGATAAACGCGAAGAAGGCGCCGCGGCGCCGCTTCTTTTTTCTTTTTTTTTCTTTTTGCGTTGCCACTTGGCAGCTCGCGGACTCGCAACACGTTGAAAATACACGTGAATAGTCGCGCGAATCGTCCGAGGAAGTTGTTGTCAACACGTATCACGTCATATATATCGTATCAGCTATAAAGTTGAACTGGATAAAAATATCCAGAAAATTACTAAAACGATTTAAATGAAATTTTCAAACATGTAAATTATAATTTAGAAATTTTTCGCGTCTAAATTTATATTTTTTTATTTTTATTTATATCTTATATTTATATTTTTTTCAACCTTTTCCATTAATTTTTGTTACGGAGAGCAGTACGTTGAACTAAAATAAATAGGCCTTATAAAAATACGTAGGAAGTTAACGGCAAACTTTCGTTTTCATTCTTCGTATTCGACTGAGAGAACGACCGTAAAAAAAAAACCACGCTGGAACTCCGGAATAAAAATAAGAACCCGGCGATACACGTGAAAGCCATTAAGTTGGACGTAACGGCGGAGAGAAAAAATAGTAGCCCGCAGTCCAATTTAGTGCGCACTAACCGGTTTCCATAGTTAGCATATGCACACACATTCAACGCGCTATCTGAGAATGGTATCTTACCGCGTGCGCTGATGCAAGAAAGTTATTATCTAACCTTGACGCGGACTCAAACACAACTTGGACGACTGACTCACATACGGGTCTCCGAAATTCTTCGCGCCAAATCGCCAAAATATCATGAAATCCCACAGTTATCAATGACGACGCAACAAAAAAAATACAGCAGAAGTGACGCATTATTATTAACGCGATAGCGTAAATGCACGAAATATTTTCAGGCACGTTTAGATACGTAAAGCTATTCGATTAATCGCCTACTTGAGTAACGCCATTGGCGAACCGTAAAATACGGCTTAATCTCGCTCGATTAATCGCAGCGCCGAACTGTTTATGCGTTCGAATCAGTTTTTGTAACGAGAGTGCTTGACGAACATATCAAATGTTATTGCACGATATCAATGTTTTGCGGCCGTCAGGATTAATCGTGAGATAATTTCTGAGAAAATATATTAATAATAATAAAAATACAATATACATATAACAGATTCCCTAGATAACACAGTTACTGTACAGAGTTTATAACAAATATTGTGCCTATTTTATGTGTTTCTTATTAGATATACATTAATAAACATTGAAGATCCGAGATCGATATCCAGGCTCGATTTGCACCTGCCTCGTATATTCGAAATGCCTCATGGAGCAAGAAATGAACATCCAACACAAGTTATAGCTACAAACATCTGGCTTAGTTTAAGCGGAGGACATCATATAATACCGTCGCAGTAATAGGGGATCGTAAAATGTATGATTTGCATGTCGCGCGTTCGACGCCGCGGTACTTGGATCTAACATTGTTGCGCAAGCAACAAACAGGGGCGTCATAATATACGAACGAACGGCTAAGTTTTCGTAATCGAACACCGGTGTGTGTATATCGAGTGTGCAGTCGGTAGATTATACAGTGACGGATTACGTTTCTAGGAAGTGTTTCGCACTTCTCTCTCTCCTTCTCCTCGTCATGAATGATTACGCTATCAAGGCGCGCTTCTAAAAGAGAACCATCACTTCGCAGTCTCTCTCCTCTCTTATCCAACGTTTCCAAGTCGGCCGGCGGCGAATCATTCGCGATTTATTATGTCGGCCGCCGACCGAGAGCCGAGAGTTAGTCAGCAATTCCGAGAATCGCGCCGTCCGTTCGCGGTAATATCGCAGAGGCGTGTTCCCACTTCGCTGAAAATAGCGCGAAGCGAGCGAAGCGCGAGAGCTAAATACCGGTATCTCTATCCGACTCTTTATCTCCGGCAAAAGCACGGGCGCGCGTGCGGCCGCGATAACGATTATTGACGAACGATATTATGTATGAAACCTCGGGAATGTATGGAACTTGTTATTGTCGAGGAGATATAATCCACGAGGCGACAACGCGATTTTTTATTTTTATTTTTTTTGCGCGCGCGCGCCCGCGACGCAGATTGTTGTACGTGCTGCAGTTATGCAACTCGTCACGTTTTATCGTCGACCGCTCGACATCCGTCCTGACCTATCGTAACATGTCGATCAATTACGCCTCGCCAATTCGTTATCGTGGATTTAACAAATTCGATATATATTATATTAAGTCGCGTATCGAGCCTCTAACAAAAATGAGATTTCATCCTTGAATTTTTATACTATTTTTTTTATTTTTTATTTTTTCAGCGAAACGCGAACATATAGAGACGTTTCCGCGAGCAAGATCAATGATGATATCATCGGAAATGTATATAGCGGTAGATGCACGGAAAAGCCACGACAGTTATTGCAAGAGAATATCGTGCGAGATTATTTCAAGCGACTTACGTCAGCGCTCTTTATCGAATGCCTGACCTAGGTCGTGATACCTATTCTACGAAGAGGAAAAGTTAACTTAGGGGAGCCGCATGGCAAGACGAATCCCTTTTACGGAGAATCCAAATATAACATCTAAAGAGCCGTCGTTAAAATGTTTTCTGAAGCTGTAATTATTTTATTTATATTTTAAATATATGTTTATACACATAGATATATAATATAATAAAAAATCATTTGTGTAATATTAATGATAAGTTGTATATAAAAAATTTTGTTGTTATTAATTTATGTAAAATTGTAAAGC